GGGGTCAGGCTGCCACTTCCCCAGCCGCTGGCATAGAGCCCCAGGGCCTGGTGCTCAGTTGGATGTTGGCAAGTTGGTGTGCAGCAGGGAGAGGTGTTGGCCCTGCCTGGCTGGACATGGCATGCCACGTCACTGATGCAGGACTAAAGGCAGTAAGGACCTCGCTGGGTGTCCCTACAGGTTTGCTGGCTGTGGCTCCCAGCCCTGGTGCTGCTGGGAGGGAGGGTGCAAGCTGCAAACTGGGCAGCAAAGCCTGGTGTGGAGTGGGGCAACCAGGAGGGTTTGCTTTGCCTCATGGGCTGGTGTGGGGATTTGAGTGTGCTGACAAGACAGGGAGGGGCTGTAGATTAAAGCTGGCCTGGGTTTTGCTGGGCCAGCACTGATTTGGGAGAATCTCGAGGGAAGTCCACTGCACTTGGGGCCAAACCAGTGTGTCTGTGAGCCGTGCAGAGACATTGCCCAGTGTGCCCAGGGGGTTTAACAGGATTACACTGTGCTTTCTCAGACTGGGAGGTGGCAGCTCACTTTGCAGTGTCCCTGCTGCACAGCAGGGTGGGTTTGGAGGTCTTGTGCACCCTCCACTTGTGCCAGTGCCTCCTGGAGACAAAGAACAGCGGTTTCCCCGTGGCCGAAAGCCCCTGCTTGGCTTTCCAGTGTCAGCCAGTATGAACTGGCCTGTAGGTGGGAGCTAGGCAGGGGAATGGGGAGTTTCTGGCTGGCTTGGGAGCACATTGCCTTCAGTGCCTGGATATGGACATGGTTCTGCACTGTCGATTGCCCATTGATGTAGATGAGGAAAGGCTGAACTTGCAAACTAAGCAAGAGCAGAGCCTGGCCCTAGTTCTCAGGGGTAAGTACCAAACTGCTCCGTTCACTTGGTGAAGCTGTCCTGGGCTTTATGCTGCAAAACAAGCCAGCTGTGGGCCAAGTTCTGCTTGGACACACAAGTAGTGTTTGGACTTGTTGCTGCAGAAGATGACCAGTGGTGGACTCTTTTGTCTTTTGCTACCTGTAGCTTTTCCTAGTTTTCTTACCTCCTGTGTTTCCCAGGCTGGAAAACTGCAGATCAAGCCCAAATCCACATCTTTGAGGGTGAAGCTCTTTTCTGGCTCTTACTGTCCTCTCCCTGTGCCCCACCTGTGCCCCAGGCACCCTAACACGGTGGAGTAGCTCAGCCCCACAGCAGGGAGCCAGCACTCCCAGGCCCCGTTCAGGTGGAGCCCCTAAATCCTGGTTTTTGTTTTGCCCCAACAGGCCATCGGTCAGTCCCTGAACAGCATGACTGAGGACATTTATACCAATGGCTCAGCGACTCTGGGCAGCCCCTCCCACAGCAACAGCCGTGAGGTGCGGAAAATACGCCTTGTCCAGTTCGAGAAAGTCACAGAGGAGCCCATGGTAAGAGCTGGCAGGATCCCAAAGCCTGGTGGCACCCAGGGGGGCAGAGGGGCAGGTAGACCCATGCCAACGGGCTGGCCTTGGGGGAAGCAGGAGATTGCTGGAGACCTCAGCCATGGGAAGAGGGTGCTAGATGCTGCCTTCTGCCTGGGGACCTGCAGTGAGCCCCGTCAAAGGGTGATGATGCTTGTGCCAAGAGGAGCTCCAGCAGGCTGGGCTGGCCAAGGAGGAGGATTCTCCCCCAGCCACTGTTCAGCCCACCATGGACATGGGCCTGGAGAGGACTTCGCTGAAAGCATGGGAGCTCTCCCCTCTAGATAGCAGTCATGGATTTTCCTGTCTTCCAGGGAATCACGCTGAAGCTCAATGACAAGCAGAGCTGCATGGTGGCCAGGATCTTCCACGGGGGCATGATTCACAGACAAGGTAATGAGGCCCTTGTAGAGGCAGTATAGGGGGTACAAGTCTGCAGCTGGTTTCTTTCTGTGCAGAGATAAGGCAGCCCCCAAGCACTGCTGTCCTTCCTTTCTGATGTGGACATGTGTGACCATTCCCCCACTAGAAATATGTCAGGAACTCAAGACTCTGGTCTCTCTACATGGTTGTCATGTTAATACACTGGAGGCTTTAGGGAGAAATGAAAGGCTGGGAGAAGGGCTCTCCCAAAAAGGAACTGGAGACCGTCTGTCTCCGTCTCATCATGGGGTGTCACTGTAACAAGAGATGGATCATATCCCAGAGACTCTGTGGGAAGCCCTTCCAATTCCTAAAGTGCACAGGTGGGACAGGCTTGCTGTGGATTTGCTCTGCAGACCAAAATAAGGTGCCAAAAGAAATAAACAGGTGCTATTTTCTGGTTTGGGGTCTTGCCAAAGGGGCATGGAAATGAGATGTTCTGTGCTTAGAAGAAGAGGCCCCTTTTCCAGCCTTGGATCTAAGTGGGAAGTCTGAGTTTACCCCTGCCAAAATAACCCAGGAGCCATTCCAATAATACTACTGGAGCCTCATTTCTAGCAGGATATCTGAGGCTGTAATCTGGTTGGGTATATAAACTGAAAACACACAAAGTCAAGAATGCCTGTGTTAAGGGCCCTGTGAGGAGGCTGTCGTTTGGCTTCAGGTGACGTACTTGGGCTTGAGTTTGAATAACTCTAAAACAGGTGCTTTGACCAGTCTAAAGCGCTGAAGGACACACAGTGGTAAGCAACCTGATGGCCTTCAGGCTGCTTGAAGTGAGTGTATTGGGTGGCAAGGGAAGAATTGATTCCCCTTGTGCTTTAATCCCATGTGCTTAAGTGACATGGGTGGCTCCACAAGCATTGTCCAGGCAAACGCTGCAGTGTCCTGGCCACAGGTTGCACAGGGGGTTGGGAGGCTGGTGGAGCAGTGTAGTTTGTGTTTGGTGAGCAGCTCTTGTCCAGTCCTGCATTTTCATGTTTCTCCCATTACTGGCAGGCTCCCTTCATGTGGGTGATGAAATCATAGAAATCAATGGACAGAGTGTGAGCAACTACTCAGTTGACCAGCTGCAGAAGATGCTGGTAGGTATTTGTGTTTGGCAGCACTGTTCCCCAGGAAGGACCACTTTGGCCTGCAGATGTGCACGCTGGCTGAGCATTCACCCCCTCCTAGGTACTGCCTGCAGCAGTGTGATGCAGCAGGAGCCAGGGCCACTCTGCCAGGTTCTGTAATACGGCCAAGCGCTGGGTCTCTACGCAGCCTTGGTGGTCTGTGCTTGCTGTTTGTTTCTGCCTCCCTGAGAGCAGCAGCCAAGGCTGTTGGCTGGGTCCCTGACATCTGCTGATGTGTGTAGGGCTTGGAAACCACCTCTGCTTGCCAGGGCTGGTGTGCAGCTCCAGCACATGGGCTGGCTGCTCTTGCAGACCCGAGTCACTCCTACAGGTCACGTTGGTGCCATTTTCCTGCTGTTGAGGTCATGGCGATCCTGCCAGGCCCTTGGTAGAGACAGCTTTGGACAGGGTCTCAGACCTGCCTTGGGTTCACACACTGAGGCCATCCTGATCCATGCCCAACATGTGAGACCTGGCTGGAGGGAGGTGGTGGTGAGGACACCCACCAGCAGCCTAAGCAGGAGGCCTGGCTCTGCTGCAGTGTCATGGTCCTCCCCTGCCTGGTGGCAGGACCTTCCTGCTCCAGACGGTGGTGCCAAGGAGGAGCTTGTCTTTGCCTCCCAAGAAGGGCAGTTGGCCCAAGAGGCCCCTCCAAGCCTCCAAATGTTGTCCCCACAGGACCATGTAGTTCCCATGAAGCACATGGGACAACAGTGCATCTGGCCTGTGGCAGGCAAGGGAGCGCTGTGCCACTAATGTCACCAGGAGGGCAGAAGTGAGAGGCCGGCATGGAGAGGACAGATGGAGGGGATGTGGCAGAAGCAGCCTCTCCTCCCGGGGGCAGCCAGGCTGGAGACAATATAGATCTTTGTGTTTGTTCTGGTGATGCTTAGCAGTGCCTACAGCCAGCCCCTTGTGGGGTGCTGGTGTCCCCCCATGGGGATGGGACAAGTACGGCAAAGCTATGTTGCCGTGGGTCTTAGCCCAGCCCCAGCAAAGCTGTTTCTGGCCAGGCTGTGGTGTCCCCCAGTATAACAGCATGGCTGGGAGCACCCAGGAGCCTTGCTTGTCCAGGTCCTTGCACTCAGCAGCTCCCTGCACAGTTTTTGCTGCTGTCAGGCTGCCTCCAGGCACCATCTCCTCCAACTCTTCTTTCTCCTCTTCCTTTGTTCACTAGAAAGAAACCAAGGGGATGGTCTCAATAAAAGTAATTCCCAACCAACAAAGCCGCCTCCCTGCTCTGCAGGTAAGTGCAGCCTCCAGACCCGCAGAGTGTGCTGAGACATGGTTGTGGGGCTGGGTGGGACCAGAGCAAACCGCAAGGGACCAGTGCTGGGGAGAGAGAGCTGTGCTCAGCCAGGGGAAGGACAAGGCGATGGCTGCCTGGTCACCTTGCTTGAGCTGCTGGAGGATGAAGGGATCTGTCTTGTGCTTACATCGCTGCAAATGAGCAGATTTTGGCCCTGTGTAAATGTATTTACCCAGTGTGTACGTAGGAATGCGGACCTGGGATGCCTGAGCCACAGTGGTATGTCTGTGCAGTGTTTGATGATGGGAAAGCAGCAGTGTGTGCACACCAGGAAGTGCAAGAGAGTTTCCTGCCACCTGCAGAGCAGCCATCCCCATCACAGGGCCACAGCAGCACCTCCAGGTGCAGCACCAGGCTGTCGCTGCTCCCTGCCATCACTGGTGCCCAGGGCATCAGCTGCAAGGAGGGTGATGTAGGTCCGGATGCTGCCAGCACGCTTGTGAACAGCAAGGGGGAGGAAGGAAGCAGTGGGGGAGAGGAAGGCAGCTCCTTGCACCACCACTGCCAAGGTGGGGGTGACATGCTGTGGCAGGGGGTGACTGACACCTTCCTCACTTTGCCTTTGAAGTCCGGCTATGGCCGAAATACTCAAGGTAGTGGGGAAGGCTAGCTCCTGTACCAAGACTTCTGTGCATGGTGGCTGGGATGCTGTCCTGTCTCCAGGTGCAGGAGACGACCCTAGCGCAGCCCTGCCTTCGTGGACAAGCAGGAATTCGGGAGAGGAGCTGAGAGGCATAGGATGGGGGCTGGATGGTGCTGGGATGGGCTGGGGGAGCCCATGTCACCCTCCTTCCTTCCTTACCCAGAGAAGGTGAAGTCTGAACATGGTGGCAAGTGAACTGTCCCCATTCTAGCTCAATGAGCCTTGAATGTGTTTGTTTATGAAACACTGGCCCAGGTCTGCCCGTCCCTGCTGTCCATCTGCCCTCCCTGGCCTGACCCAGCCAGCTCCAATCAGCCAGGCCTGCTCAGTGCCAGGGGAGAAGTTGCCTCTCAGAAAAAGAACAGTTGCTGGCTGAGCTGAGGCTGGCTCTGGGCTCAGGGAAGGTCATGGGCACAAACCCCTTCCAACCAACAGCTGTCCTCCCTTTTCCTGTGTCCAGGGCTGTGGTTCTTGTCTGTTCCCCAGAACCACAGCTCACAGGCTGCCCGTGTCTCTGCTTGTTGCAGTTTGCTGCTGAGAGTAGAGTTCTGATTTTGTTTCAACTCCTGGATCCCCATGATCACCTTCACTTCAGGGCCTGGCAGGCAGGACAGTGCAGATCCTGGCGTCGTGATGGCCCCTTGCCCTGGCTTGTCCCGCAGCCTGGCAGCCAGCCACTTGGAGGCCAGCTGAGTGTCTCTTGGGGCAGGTTGGCTTGAGAGGATCATAATGAGAAGAACCACTAAAGCACTCAGGGCTCTCAAGGTCACCTCCAGCCTGTTCCCAGTCAAAAATTGCAGCCTTTTGACTTCAGAGCTCAGGGCTTCTCCTGCTGGAGCCTGCTCAGTACCTGGGCTTCCAGCCCCAGAGAGGGGACTTGCAGCAGGCAGGCAAATAGCTTGTATTTGGAACTAGCCCTTTGCAGTCCATGCGTGATGCCTGGAGCTGTTTGATCCTAACTGGGGTAAGGGAGGGTCTTTCCACGTGTGACCTGGCTATGGCTAGCTTAGGGTACCAGGGCTGTGGGGAGCAGAGGGCTCCAGGCAGGTGCCTGGGCAGTGCTTGTTGTGTGTCCCTTACATGTACATGTTTGTGTTGATGACCAGCTTCCTGGTGCCAGAGAGTGCTTTCAAAGCAAGCATCAGTCCCCATCCTGAAAGAAGATTCCACTTTTCTTGTCTTCCGTTGTGAGAGATCTCATGTCACAGCACGATCTAGATGCTCTGCTTTTCTGGCAGTGAAAGAGAGCAGTGTTTGTGTCCTGCTGGTTCTGTGCCTCCAGCAGCACTGCTGAAGGACAGACTGTGGGAAATTGTTTTAATGTGGAACAAGGACAGCATGGTCTACCCTACACAGGGAGGATGACTTTCCAGGCCCTGCCTGTCACATCTGAGGACAGGACATAGGTATCACCCCATGTGAATTCCTTTGCCCGCTTGCTATATGCTACATTTCTGGGATAAATAACTTGATAGGGTTGTGTTCAGGGGAATTCTGCATTAATGCAAGCATGAGGCTGCATCTGATAGTGCTGCTTCCCCTGTAGAAGGATCTGGTGGTGGCACAACTGCTGGGCAGCCCCAGGCACACTGCCAGCTCAGGGCCCAGCACTCTGCTGAGTGATCACAGTAGTCTCAAACAATGGGGAGCACCCATGACTTGTGGGAGAGCCTGCAGGACTTCGCCTCGTGACTGGAGCTCCCAGCAGCCTCAGGCCCATAGGACAAAAAAACACCAGGAGGGGAATAAGGCCAATGTGAAGTCTGTGTTTGCCACAACCTTACTTTGTTCCCTAAACCTTGCCTTTTACTCCCCATCCTCCATACCTTACCTTGACTTTGCCTCTGCCCTGGTCCTGATCTCTGGTGTGCTGGCCAGAGACAGCTGCACAGCGCTGCAGCAGTGTTTCAGATAAGAAACTGTTCATCCAAGGCACCAAGAGCAAGCAGCAGTGCAGAAGACACTGGGTGCAGCTGCCTGGTCTGCGCTCCTGCTGGGGATAGGTGACTGTCATCCATCCTGTTGCTCTCGGATAGTCTGTTCTTCCCGAACAACCTTCCTGGAAAACAAGGTCTGCGTGCGAAAGCCACGTGTCATTTCTCTCCTGACCTTGCAAAGATGCTCGGGGCAGCAAGAGCCCAAGGGTGCCCAGCTGCCTGTTGGCTTCAGGATGGCTTGAGGCCAGGAGGAGGCAGGGGGATGGGCTGCCCCAGTGGGAGCAGGCGCTGTCGACTCCCTCCCCAAGAGCTGAGTGAGCAGAAGGGACAGGGAAAGGCCACTTTCTCACGCCTTCCTGGTCCCCAGGGATTCCCCAGCCCAAGGAAGGTGGCACAGTGGCCTGGGCAGGAGCAGCAGCTCGTTTCCAGTTGTGGCTGTGATGAATGCAAAGTTGCAAGAGTAGCTGATGCTGAAGAGGTCAGGACAGACCCAGGCAGGGATGTACACAACACCACAGCCTTGGCTCCCCAAAGGCCACGCAGGGGAAAGCCCAATGCTGGGGAGAGGCCAGGGCACAGCACCTGGGGATTGAGATGGCACCTTTCCTGGGGTCCCCAGAACATGGGAATGCAGGGTGCGCTGTCGCAATGGCTGCTCTCTGATCACCCTGTTACAGTCCTCAGTTGCTGTGCACCGTGTTGGTCTGGGTGGTGGGACATCTCTGGTGGTCTTGGCTCACCAGCACTGTGCAGCACCTGTGGGACTGCAGGGGGGCTACACATCAGGGTTCAGGCATGAGCTGTGGGGCATGCAGGCCTGCCTAGAGGCAGCAGCCCTTTCACTGGCTCCCAGTAGGGCCAAGATGCCATCCTCTTCCCTCCCTCACCCACCAGCACATCTCACTGCAGCTCCATGCTCCAGACCTTCCCTCAAGGATTTATGCATCTCCCCACCCAGCCTCATGGGGCCTGAAAGGCAGCAGGGGCTGGGGCCCCTCCTGGAGCAGGGACCTTGTGCCTGGATCTGTGACTGCCAGGGGATGCAATGTGGGGCCGGGAGCCAGACACGACTGAGTTCAGCCACCCTGCATGGCCATGCTGACTCCAGCCCACTCTCTCTTTTGTAGATGTTCATGAGGGCACAGTTTGACTATGACCCCAAAAAAGACAACCTGATCCCCTGCAAGGAAGCGGGGCTGAAGTTTCAGACTGGTGACGTGATTCAAATCATAAACAAGGATGACAGCAACTGGTGGCAGGGCCGGGTGGAGGGCTCCTGCACTGAGTCGGCGGGACTTATCCCTTCTCCAGAGCTGCAGGAGTGGTAGGTCTCTGGATTTGGCTAGAAGGGCTGGATCTGGGAGTCGAGGCGGGAACAGTGACCATGTGTGACCACGTTGGGTAACACCAGCATCACTGCTGTGAAAAGGAGGCAAATGTCCCTTTCACCTGCTGCAGAGTGAGCCTTTACCTGTCCCAGCAGCCACCCTGCTCCTCTTGCCCTTGCATGTCTGAGGGACAGTCCCGCTGCTCCCCCAGGGCTTTGGGTGACAGCTGGACCATGGTGGTGTCCTCCTTTTTTGGCAGGCGTGTGGCGAGCATCACCCAGTCCAGTCAGAGTGAATCCCCGAGCTGTAGCCCCTTTGGGAAGAAGAAAAAGTGCAAAGATAAATACCTGGCCAAGCACAGCTCAAGTAAGTGCAAGCAGGGCAGTGAGCTCCATCCCCAGCCCTGGCCATCACTCCTGCCTCTGGGCAGGGGTGGGTCCATCCTCCACAGGAGTCAGATGAAATGGCTGAGTTGTGGTGGCAGTTGGACCTCTGGAGGATGCCCCACAGCTGTCAGGTTTTTTGAGTACCTTCTCCAGTCCTCATACCCCTCAGGTGGCCACAGCTGTGTCCCCATGCAGCTCTGTAGTGCAGGAGGCCAGGGCAGGCTCATGTGGGAGCCAGGCACTGAGCTCCCGTGCTCTCCTGCCGTGACAGTCCCAGGCAGTCCTGCCCCGAGTTCCTTTGGACGTTGGGCTCCCAGGCCCTCAAACCCCACAGGCTGCTGAATGCAGGACAGGCAGTGGCCTTGCTGCTGCTCAGCAGTTAGGGAGCAGCCCGAACTGCTCCCCACAGCTGCTAAGCTGTGTCCCTGGTGGGGCAGGGAGTCTGCCCCTCAGCCACCCATGCAAGTACCCTGTGCTGACTATGCCCTGGGCTGGTAAAGACAGGTGCCTGAGGATGTTCTGGCTCCTAGCCTAGCCTGCAGCTCCAACCAGCAACAAACAAGGCCATAAATCAGCGAGATAAATAAAGCTCCTTCAGCGGCAAGCTCCCTGAAGCGTCCTGCTGCCTCCCCACTGAGTTCCCAGGTCCTACTGACCTGAGCTGAAATAGTGAGAGCAGCCCTGGCTTCTCCTTCCACAGCTGGTGGTCCAGCTCCCTAACACCCCCTCTGTACCTCACATGCTGCTTGAGGGTGCTGCCCTCTTCCACAAGCTGCCAAACAGGGATGAGCTCCCAGCCCAGTCCTGATCGCCCCCTGCCTTTTGCCCAAGGACCTGGCTTTGGTCCGATGCACGTGCAGTCCTGGTGCTGTGGCCAAGCCAGCTCTGACCATTCACTGTCTCGTTTCTCCTCTGCCCCAGTTTTTGACCAGCTGGATGTGGTTTCATATGAGGAGGTGGTGAGGCTGCCTGCCTTCAAGAGGAAGACTCTGGTGCTCATTGGTAAGCCCTGCCCCAGGCATCCTCTGCAGCACAGGATGCATGGGGTAGGTCCTGGGGGGAAGCCCTGCCCTTCAAAATCTAGTAAGCTCTGGGGAGCATTTCTTCTGCCTGCAGTGGTCCCAAGCAGGCTGACTCCATGCAGCATTGTACATGGTTTGGCACCTGCACGGCAATGTTGAGGTAGAGTTAATTAAGGAGTTTCTAGCTCCTAAGTATCTTTATAGATTGTTAAAAGCAGCTCTGGTCTGTGCAGCTACACCAAAGCAAGCACTCCCCCACTGTGGGAGCTGAGCACTTGTTGGCGGACCCCACAAGCACGGGCAGCCCATGCACCCCAGCCGTGCTGGCCACTCAGCAGGTACCAGTCCTATCTCCAGCTGGGGCTAGAGGTGAGTGTGCCCAGGGCAGGGAGAGCCCTCTTCCGGGGCTGGAAAACACCACAGACCAGCTCAGAAAGCAGATCCTGAGCAAGTCCCCAGGAGGCTCTGCACCTTTCCTCAGACCCAGAGTTGTGGAGGGGTCCCAGCATCTCCTGCCAGGCTTCTCTGAGCCCAGCTCCAGCATCCATCCCTCCTCTGCAGGGGCCAGCGGTGTAGGCCGTAGCCACATCAAGAATGCTCTGCTCAGCAACAACCCGGAGAAGTTCATGTACCCGCCACCATGTAAGTACCCAACCGGGGTGGAGGACAGAGCACAGGGTGCATTTCCTCTCACCTCATGCCAGGACTTTCTGACAGCAGATGGGATGTGGGGAGATGTTCCTCCAGTGCCACCAAGCCCCCAGCGTCAGAGGCCACCACACAGGGTACTGTAGGGCCTCTCTGCCTGCTGTCCCACAGGCTGAACCTACCCACAGATGGCTGCATGGTTGCTGTCACCTGCACTGCAGAGACACCTCACTCTTCACATCCCAGGGGCTCTCCTGGGGCTGCCTAAGTTCCCTACTTGTTCCAAGCAGGAAGGAGTTGAAAGGGGATTAGTACAGCCCAGCTTCGAGGCGTACAGGTCCTCTATGCCCTAGCCCCATGCTCAGAAAGGGAAGGCAAGACACCCAGGTCACCCAAAGCAGAGGCTGCCAGCTCCTCTCTGTTCCTCAGTCCTGGGAGCCAGCACTCACCATCTCCCTCCCTCCCCAGACACCACGCGCCCCCAGAAGAAAAATGAGGTGGACGGGAAGGATTACTACTTTGTCTCCACGGAGGAGATGACCCGGGACATCTCAGCCAACGAGTTCCTGGAGTTTGGAAGCTACCAGGGTAACATGTTTGGCACGAAATTTGAAACAGTGCACAAGATCCACCAGCAGGACAAAGTTGCTATTTTGGACATTGAGCCCCAGGTAAGAAGCAGGGGAAGGGGTGGGCAGGATGGGGGCTGCCACAGGTTGAAGTACCTGTGTGCTGGCTGTGACCATCCCTACCTTCCCCTGTGCGCTGCCTACCCACCCTTCCTGAAGGAAAGAGCCAGAGGGTGCTGGGGTGGCATGTCCATTCACAAGACATGGATGCAGTGAGCGTATTCCCTGTTGCAGCATGCACCCAGCTGTGACAGCAAGGCCAGGGCCAGGCTGCCATGGGAGTGGAGGGGGCAGGGCCAGCACAAGCCTTGCACAGGGATCCTTTCCCCTCTGACACCAAGCATGTGGGTGCTGCTTTGCAAAGTGGCAATTGTGTCCAGTAGCCAGCCCAGAGCAGGAAGTGCAGGGGCACCCATGCTGGGACCCCTGCTCCAGCTTTACCTAACTACCCCCAGGCTCAGGAGTCCACCCGGAAAGCCCATGGCCCCAGACTAGGGGTGGCCACCATTGCACCCTGGCTGGGGAGCACCGTGGGGTAGCAGGGGACAGCAGCCAGCCAGCTGCGCTTGCTCCCACCCTGAGGACTGGCCACCCTCTGGTAACTACATGCCTCTCTCCACAGACCCTGAAGATTGTCCGCACAGCTGAGCTCTCCCCATTCATAGTCTTCATTGCCCCAACAGACAAGGCAGAGCAGGTGAGTGGCACGGTGCCAAGGCCAGTCCCCTTCTGGCCAGACTTGCCTGCCCACAGCAAGGGAGCAAGCAGACCACTGCAGCATCCCCAGGCTCTCCCCTGCTCCACATTGGCTTCTTCCCGTTTGCATTGATTTTTGTGGCCCAGGAGAGCAGCCCAGACCTGAGAAACAGGAATTAGCAATTCCTGCATCCCTAGGCTCTCTCCCAGATTGACACCCCCCAACAACCATCATCCCTGCAGCATAACCAGCCACTAACACGTAGTGGAGTGCAGAGCTCAGCACCCAGGGCTGTCTCCAGCTGCAGTAGTGCTGCCAAGCAGGAAAATTATCCTGCCATCAGCTATACAAATAGCACACGCAAACAGCAGCTCCTGTAATTCTTTGCCTCATTAAGATGCTCATCCTTCCAAAATTAGGATGAAAGCAGCACTGATGCCAGTTAACTCATGCAGTGCCAAGCACCACAAGGCTGGGAGCCATATGGTGCTATTTCTCAGGAAGACCCCAACACAGGGAGCAGTGCTGCCTAGCCTTCCCTCCTGCAGCCTGGACCAGCTCCCCTGAGGGCTGTCCTCTGCAGGGAGACAGGAAATGATGGGAAAACAGGGAAACAACGCTGAGCTGTGCTCCTCCTGGACTCATGGCCAGCCAAGTCCACCTCTCCCAACCAATTTGTGGTTTGTAGAGCTTAAGATACAGATAGTTTGCAAGGAGGGTATTTATACAGCCTTCAGAGCAAGCATTGCACAGGCATTTAGAGACACATTAACCTGCAGCAGATTGTAAAGCCAGTTGCAGCAGGCTGGGGGAGAAAGAGTGGGGCAACCATCAGGACAGAAAGGACAGTTAGGCAGCTTCCATGCCCCACCACCCACTGCTGCCTCCAGGCAGAGCAGTGAACTCCTGCTGCAGCAGGCAGGGCCAGCCATGCTGACACAGGCACTATATATAGCTAGCTGCTGCAGCTCAGGTAGCTGCTTACTAGAAGGGATGCAGCAGAGCCAAAATGTGACCCAGCAGAATGCACAGGACCCAGGCAAACTGCTTATTGCTCTCCCCTCTCCATCCTCAAGAGCTGCCAGGCAACATACAGCAGAGCTGCAGCAACCAGAGCACCCCAAGCTCATCCCTCCCTAAACAGAGAAGCAGGGAGTTGCCTGCATTTCAAATTCCATTAGGGAGATATGTGGAAATTAATCTGGACTTTGCTGTTGAGGGACAGCTGCCCACAGGGACACACTCCTGGGATTCCCTCTGATAGCTGGGGAACTGTGCAGACTAGCCACAGTGGCAGGAGGGGGCAGGCAGCTTTGCTTTTACTATGAAGAAATTTATCTCAGCCAAAACCAGTGTAGTTTTACCAGTACAAGAGCTGGTACAGCTCTTGTCAGCCAGCGCTGTTCTGGTCAAAAGCCAGCAGGGAGGGACCACCCTGCAGGGATCCTACCTTGAAACCAGCCTTAGGCTTTGAGCTGGCTACACTTCATAGCATAATGAGGAGCCTGCTGCTTGGTGAACCCTCTCCCAGGGAGCTGCCCCAAAGAATTTTAAAGTATGAGACCAAGCAGGTCTGGCCCCACTAGCAGGTAACATGATGCTCCCAGCATTGCATAAAGTCTAGCAAAACCCCCAGGCATACACTCCCAGAGATCAGACAACAGCTCCTAGCTGTCAGACAAGCTCCAAGGATGCTCTGTGCTCTGATACCCAGCAACCACTTGAGTTGTTTTGATGGTGGGAGTTTGCCTGTTGGATGGACTGTGAAATTCCTCTCGTCCCTAGCCTCCTGAGTACTCTCTCCTGTTTCTTGCAGTCAGAGGCTTTGCAGCAGCTCCAGAAAGACTCAGAGAGCATCCGGAGCCGATATGCACACTACTTCGACCTCTCGCTGGTCAACAATGGGGTGGAAGAAAGCCTCCAGCTGCTGCAGGAAGCCTTTGAGCAGGCCTGCAGCTCTCCACAGTGGGTGCCTGTCTCCTGGGTCTACTGAGAGGGCATCTGACCCCAGCCACCTCCCATCAACCATCCTGCAGCCATGAGGAGAAACCTCCTCAGCTTCCCCTGATCAACACACAGCCGAGCACAATTGCCTTCCTCTGCTGCTCCATGGACATGGTCTTATTGGTTGACATGCACACAGGGTCTCCAGATCTTTCCTGAGGGAACAGCCACCTCCCGCAGCACTGCAATGCTAAATAAATTAGCAGCTACAGCAGAGCCTAGGGCAGCCCATTACCTCAAAGCACAGCTCCCCACCTTACCAGGCAAGGGAAAAGCACAGTCCTGCGGTTAACGCAGAGCTGATCTCTGAATCAGTCCCAAGAGAAGTGGCAGAGCAGGGCCTTCCAGGCAGATGTCCCCTGCCATCACAGGAACACACACTGTGCCACAAACACCCCAAAAGCCCGGCTGGTGTCCACAAGGCTCCAAGGAAGCCCACAGCTTAGGAGGCTTCACATAGGCCACACCAGAGCTCCTACATCCAAGGGTTTCCCCTCACAAATGGGCAGGAGCAGAAAAAGGTAAGCATGGATTTGACAAAGGTGGCGTGGAGCATGCCACCCCCCAGGCAGGTCTCACCCTGTGTTCTGAGGTTGGAGTTTTCCAATTCACCCTGTGCAACTCTAGTTATAAAAACTCACTGTATGTAAATTCTCACCATGCAGCTTGGACTGTTACTGCCTAGCTGGAGAAACTTTGCAGCAGCTGAGGAAGTCGCACAGACCAAACCCCAGAGGGACAGTTAAAGGGGTAAATTAGATCCAGCCACAAGTATCTGTTGCATGCAGTAGAAACACTGTCTCTATCAAGATCATCCAGGCATGTTTTCCAGAGTCTAGGGTGTCTTGCACACTGTACACAAACATAAAACTCACACAAAGGGGTTCCTCCTTCTGCAGGAGTCAACTGATGCACTAAACCCCACCATGACCATGTTCAGGAAGTATCACCATGGCCCCTGGGCAAACTATAGCCATCATTTACCTGAAAAAAAAATCTCATTTGTGTGTTTAGCAGTCAGCTAGGGGAAAGGAGAAGGGGGTTAAGAAGTCCTGTGCAATTTTTTGAGAATACCAAAAATAAAATCTGTTGATGTGCAATAGAGACCTTTGTTCTGATCCACTGCAGGGAAACAATAAACATGTGCTGAAACATTGCCATAACTGGTGTTTTAGACCAAGCATTTCCTCACAGCTGGAAGTCTGTTCCCACCTCCCTGACCCCAACACCCTCAAGGTTAGGCAGGTCAGGACCAAAGAGTCCCTCCGGCCACTGTCAGACCTCTCCAGCAGCTCACTCCAGCACAGGCAAAGAGCTTCCAGGCACATGTCCTGGGGGGTTTTACCAAAGTGGAGGGTGGCCCCCTACGCACCTGCAGTCATGACCAGCAGCAAAGGCCCCTCTAGTGATGGTCCACATCAACGTGACCACCAGCAGCTTCTTCAAGAGAGCAGGACACAGACTAAGCAGAAGGGACAGACATTTACCTGCCCAGCTGCAGCATGCACATGCCTTAAGCTGCCTCCCCTCCTCATGAACAGACCACTGACCTCTTCTAGGAGCCAGATGAGCAAGAAAATCACCCATTCAAAAATAGACCTTTTATTTTTATGTAAAAAAGAGTAAATAAAAATGGACTTTTTTTCTGCTCAGGTTCCAACAGCCACTAGCTGCTGGCCCCACTGCACGCATGTATCTCTAGCACTAGAGGGGAGAAAAGTCAGAGGGTTAAGACAAAAACAATGCACAAAGTCAAGACAAATGTTACAGAATCTCTGCAGGGATGAAGCCTGGAAGAAAGCAGCCTGGATCCTTCCTCATTGAAAGGGGCTAAAATCCTGGCTGAGCACTACACCTGTGACAGAAAGACCTCCTGCCCCCAGCAAGCTGCCCCAAGGAAATGAGAAGTCTTTCTGAAACCACTCAAACCCCACACCCAGTGCCCCTTGCAGAGCTGTCTCTGGCCAAGCTTCTCCTCACAAGGACTCCACTCCCAACAGCCCTTTAGAAAAGCTTACTGGCCAGTTGCCTTCTGGTCACTTCTGCCTTCCAGCAGCATTCCCACTTCTAGTCTTCAGAGCATAATAGATACCAAAACTAGGGAAGGCAACTGAAAGTGCTGCAGTCCCATTCCAGCAACTGGGTAAAAAGCAAAGTGCCAGCGTGACAAAGACCTTGTAAAACACACTGACAAGGTCACTGCGGCACTGGGTCTGAGGATAAGCTGACAACTAACAAGCTGGTCCCTGCACTATCAATCAAGCCAAAAGCAGGAATTTAATTATTCTAATTTTATGATAAAAAAAGTACTGAAAAATATCTTAGTGGACTACTTGATCTCATCTAGCTGAGGATCAAGCCAAGCACATGGCCAGGTTAAAACAAACCACAGCCCTTCAAATAACCCATCTGACTACCCCCATCCAAACCCATTCAGATGGGCTGCAACAAAGCCAGTCCTCCAGACACCAACACATTCCACAACTGTCAGGTAATGGCTCCAACCTTGGAAGGAAGAGGCAGGACAAGAGGGTAGAGAAACGTTATTCCTCCCTCTCAAGGTGAAAACAGAGACACCAAGAGCCAGGAGCTACAGTTCCCTGAAGATACCACTTCTATTGGCATCACGGTGTTCAACTTCAGAGAGCAATCCAGTGCAGGGGCAGTCAGGCACCCTGCTCCTCTGGCAACCCTTAAAACAGGATGAGGAGGGGTGCCTGAGCAGGGCATATTCTGGGCAAATACACCCGCTCACTTATATACACAGCAGGAAAGGACTCGGAACTTGCTGGCCCCTCTGCCACGCAGGCAGTCCTCTTTTCTCAAGGCCTCAGATTCCTCCCTCCCTACGAATGAGGTTGCCTGCTTCAGATAGATCCAGTTGTTTACTCCGAGCTCTCTTCTACCTCCTTTTGTTTCTTCTTCTTCTTCTTCTTCTTGGTGCCGGCCTCACTGGTCTGTGAAAAGGTTTGAGAGGTCAGGAAGAAATCAAAAAGGAATCTCCCACTGCTCATTTCAGGAGGAACAGCCCCACTCCAGACACAGTACAGGCTCCCCATGGCCGCCATCCTCCCTCACCACAATCCAAACACTCAAGCATACTGACTGAATGCCAGCATCATGCCAGGCACCATCCTCCCACTAGAGCACCAAAGCACAGAGGTGGTCTGGCAGGAACATGTACACACCAACTGCCCCAGGGCACAGGTGGCTGCTCACCCCATCCCTGCCCCTCTGCAGATCCACCCCCACAACAAGCCTCACCTGCCTAATCTCCTACCATTCTTAACCAGTTCAGTTTACAAGGGCACCTATATAGACATCTTTCTCTGCCTATGGGGAGCCTGGCACTTTGGGGACATGCACAGCAGGATGCTGATGCAATTTATCCTGCAGGTACTAGGGAGAGACAGGAACCTCTCCCATGCTCGAGCCGTACCATGGCAGCATGCAGTTACATACCACTTCTATTTGTTCTCCCCCGCTCTCAGCTGCCTCTTTGGCCTTCTTCTCTTTCTTCTTCTTTTTCTTTTCCTTTTTGCTCAGCTCCTCTGGTGGTGGAGTGGCAGGGGATGGTGGGGTCACAGCCTCCTCACTTTCACTCTCCGACTCTCTCTTCCTCTGTTAGGGCAACACATTGTCAGACACACCATCCTCCAAAGGAGCTCAAGTGATGGGAAAACTTTTTGCAAGTCCATTGCTACTATTTTGCCTGATGCAATCAAACTTTGTAGTTAATGCTTTGAGTGGGAAGGTGAGCTACAGACTACCAGTGGTCCCCTCCAGCATACACTGTCTAGGATTTGCTTCTGCCAGAACTGCACCCTGTATTTCTCAGTATTTCCTGTACCCAAAATGTTCCAGAGTTTGAAACACTGCTGCACCTTTCCAAGTGCATGCACAAGCCTTTACATCACAGCACAAGCCCTGAGTTAGGGAAGTTTAGATGGAAGCCTTGCATGGACATTTCTGCAATTGTCTGTAGTCTCCAGAGTCTCTGGCACAATTACTCCATTTTGGCTCCATACAATGTATTTTGTTGGATGCTGCAGCTTGTACACAAGTCAGAGCTCCTCATTCTCATACTGTGCTACAGGACTTACACCCAAAGTACAACATCCCAAACACCCAGGGGTAAGGCCCTAAACAGGTCACCCTACAGCTAGCTCAAGGGCCATGCAACCACAACACATGCTGGTGCTCTAGTCTCCCAGAATATGAAACACCTTCCACTGTAAAACAACAAACCAGAGCAGCCTGATACCAATTGCCTAAAGGAACAGGCACATATCCACTCTTCATCAGGGCCCAAATAACCCTACAGCCAGAGAGCACTAACAATACTCACTTTTGGAGCCCTCTCTGAAACACCTTGGGGAACAGCAGCTGCCTCTTTCTTGGAAGCATCCCTGAAAGAGAAGATCCCCAGGCTGAGCAGGACAGACGTTGCCTTGTGCTACTCTGTACAAAGCCTTGTCCCCCTCACAAGGGCTCTGTAACATGTGCCAGGCACCAAGTGTGGGGAAGACCTGCAGCCAGCACCAGGGCCAGCTGGGCTGGGCAACAGCAAGGCCTCCCCCATTTAATTTAGCAGACTGACTCCCTCTAAAACCACAAGCACAGGCTAGAAAGGGATAACTATCTGCTCAGGGCCTTTTCCTCTGGCACTGCTCACTAGCAACACGTCCCCTGGGACTGCAAGAAATGCCACCGCTCCCCACGGGTCCAGACAGCTGACAGCCTTCGGCCAGGCCTGATGTGCACCAAGCACAAACAGCAGCACACAGCCCTCCCCTCCGCTCACTATGTGGGAGCCACACACCCTGTACCCACCTGTAATCCACATACTCCTTCTTCCAGGAATCAGGGGTGCTCTCGTTGGGCTTCCCGTGCTTGTCCAGCAGACCCTTCTGAATCATTATCTTCTTTTGACTGGCCTGAGAGTAACATGCAGCACGTCAGACCACAGCTCCAGGGAGGATAAATCCTCCCCAGGGCTTCAGCCACTTGGCTTGAGAGGAGGCAATCCAGGAACAAGCCAAGACACCAGCTACAGCATTACTGATTTAACACTTCTCCAAGGACCTTCTAACAAATCACAGAAAACATCCCCTGCACAGCAGCCTACAAATCTCAGACAGAAAGCATCTTCATCAGCAAACAAGGGCTAAATTGTGGGGAAGTAACAGCAGCAGAATAAGATGACTCTGCACATCACAGGAGCTCAGATCTTTGACTGGGTTTCTCCATCTTAATGACCTCCCACATTTCAGCTGAACCACTCCATCTGCCAACAGGAGGCTTTGCTAAAGACTTCAAGATGCTTGAGCTGGCCTGCATTACCTCACATTTACTGTGAGACAGGTATGCATGCATCCCCACAGCTTTCTTTATTTCACCTGAACCACAGGAATGGAGTAAGCCACAGCAACTTGACACAGAGTTTTAAGTTTGAGCTGCATCACTCACCACAGCGAAACGCCAGTCTGGCGGCAGTGAAGCTAGCACTGCTGACTTCCACAACTACCACATGCTTGAGACGAGAGGAAACCAACAACAGGTGTTCCCACTGCTCCTGTCCTTCAGGCACAATTTAGTGCCTCCCAAGACAGTCTGCATTTTGGCACTTTTTGGAGTTGCACCAGAAAAAAAAGTAGCTGTTTACCCAGCCCCCACAGAGCCATCAGTATGGGGTGATAGATGAAGGTCATCTTTGCACAGAGTGCTAATGCCAAACACTTCACATCATTTGGCTCTTTACCAGAGGATGACTGGCGCTGTACACAGCTGAGCAGCAGTGGCAGCCCCAGCTGGGCCTCAGGCAGAGCTGCCCACGCTCCGTCGGGAGGGAAGGCCTTTCTCCCACCAGCAGCGGGCAGTGCCACCAGCATGGCTCCAGGAGAGCACAGCACAACTACAGCAAGGCCCTGGAGAACACACAGGTGCAGCTCTGTCCGAGGGACCCAGCGTCTCACATGCTGACAGATGGGCTCCCACGGCCACCCTGGGACTGGCCGCACTCCCATGCCACTCACCTTGGGACCGAGACCCCATTTGCGGGGATATGTGTCTCTCTCCATGATCACTCTCTTGATCTTTGCCACGATGCCATGGTCACAGGTAGAAATGACTGCTGTGGTCATCAAGGCAATGGCTGCAGAAGCAGGCAGGGAGTTCATTAACTCGTTAACAACAGAACTGCAACAGTGATGCAAGAACCTGCTGTGTTCAGCCTGTTCTTCCTCTGTCAGCACAAAGAGGAGCAACACCCCCCACCAGTGCCATTTCACCCCAAAACCTCACTGGAGGCAAGTTCTGGAGAAAGCTGCCCTGCTCAAGGGCAGCAAGTGCATCAGTGAGGGACTAACCGCGTCATAAGCACATGCCCCTCTGTCTTACACCAGAAGACCAGTTCTGGATCAGTGAACACAGTAAGACCAACTGTTTCCCAGAGCAGCACCAACACCACCACTGCCTGGGGAAGAGCTCTGTGAGCAGCTGCTGGAGCACTTCCAGGCAGCTTAAGGAATGCCACTAAGCAGTGCTGCTCCTTTCTCAGCTCACAGAACCTTGCAGAGACAAACTAGAGGAGACTAATCCTACCAGTAAATAATGTTTTTCTTGCCAGGTCCCTGAGATGACCAGAGTGCAGGCAGTACAAAAAACAAAGTGGAATGGCTTGGCTGTGTTACATCTCCAGGACCCTTCAGTCCCACAGATCTGGACAGAGCATGAGGCCATGGAGCACTGAGCACCATGCCAGACCATCTGTACAGTGTGTCAGAACCTGCCACCTACACAGCTTCTTTGAAGACCCTGGTCAGAACAAAACACCCTTTCGACTCACTCCACAAAAGCTGATAGTTGCTCAATTCCTTTTACACTCATCTGCTCAGGAAGTGTGATGTGCCAGGTAGCAAGCAGTATGTGATCAGACATCAGCCCTCATCTCAGTGAGGACAGAGCCTCCCAAAGAGGGGCTCCAACCATGCCGGCACCACTTCACTCCTGCAGGCAGCCAGCCACACACCACAGCAGCCCGCAGTAGGACACTGGGAGACTGGAGGGTCTCTGGAGACTGCACAGCACCCAGACCCTAGGACAGGAATCAGGGTGCTGCAGGAGGGCAGCACCACTGCACTCAGAGAATGGATAAACTTTGTCATCACCTCACACACAGAGCACACCTGAGCATCACACAGCTGAAACCAGGGTGAGGAACTATTCACACCTTGCCAAGGACTGATTCAGACACTGTTTCTTAAAATCCTGCCCAACACCAGCTGCCCTGGGCCATACTAACCCACACTCTCCATTAAGAAGCGCTATTTAAACCTTCTGCACATGGGGACTCATTTGTTGTGCATTTACTGCAGTCTGTTATTTCTGCAGTTAGTTAGGCACAAGAAGAACAAAGAGTTTCACACCTAGGCAGATAGCTTCTCCTTTCGTGGTGATGACGACAATCTCCTGATTAAGCTCAATACCATCTTCATACCTCAGGACACCAGGCAGCATGATCTTTGCTCCATAGCAAATGGCATTAACCTGAAAACATAGGGAACAGGAGGGCTTATAAGCTACTGGAGAATAAAAACAAGATAAGTCCCTCTAATATTTTAGCTTCCCGTTGCCATCACTGTCCCAGCAATAATATCTCCATGCATCTTTCTTATTGTCCACTATATAAAACTTGGGGGCTTTGGAAAAAGCAAGCAAAGCAAAACACCTATCACAGCAAGCATGTGAGGCAGATGTCTTAGAACCATCAGCATCCTCCTGAAGTGAGGAGAGTGGCTTCTCTGCCACTCCATTCTTGGCTCTTGCATATCTGGCAGTGACCCATACTAGGTCCTACACAGCTCATAATCAGGATGGCACTGCACACCATGCAGATCCTGATCCCCAATTTATTATATTTGCTGTACAAGTTAGGAGGACACTTCACAGTCTCTGGCTGTCAACCAGCACTAGCTTAGGAACTCACCGCACTGTCTTTCATGACTAGCCGCTTGTGTGAAGTCAGCAGTTTCTCCAATGGCAGGATAACTCTTCGCAAGTAGCTGTCATCCTTGTTGTTGTCATACTGCCACTGTGCATCCAGTACATCGTGCATAGTCACCATGTTGTCCTGCAAAGACACAACCCCTCTAAACTATCCTACCAGCCACCAACTGGAAACACACAAAAGAAAACAGCTGAAGTCCAGCAGCAAACAGTGTGCTGAATAGGAGTGAAAAACAGATGCCCAACTCATAAGCACCAAAAAAGCAACCTAAAAGAGGCAAGAATACTTTCCATCAACAGCCTGAGGTCCGCCTGACTTGTGCTACCACTACTACTTCAACCTTCCTGATCTCAGACAGCACTTAGATCTAGTGTTTAAAGTCTGTCCACATGAAACTTTGAAATACAACCAAACTTAAACAAATACCTGGGACTTCTAGACAAAGATTAGTGAGTAGAAGTTTAAATTAACCAGCTCTTCAATCTGTGACATGGAATAAATTCTTGAAGCAGCTGTAAGCACCCAACACCTGGAATTCAGAAATGACTGCCAGTGATGAATGCTGTGCTAAGAGCACAGATGGGTGGGGAAGCACTTGTACTCTGATACTCCTCCTTTGCAAGGAAATAATGTAGTTCTGGGGTTTGGACTTGCAGCAGGATCCAGCTATGACCAGAATGAAAAGACTGTGCAAATGTTGAAGACCACACAAGACTGCATCTCCCAGGCTCATTTCTATGAAACTCGCTCCCTGCATTGTGCCCTGACGCCAGTCTCAGATTGCTAAGCAGACAGCTCACACATCCGAACTCGTGGCATTTGCATGGTTTGTAGGCTGAGAAACACAGGTGGCATAAAACAAACTTTCAGTCACCATAGTGCACTTCTCAGTCACTCACTGTTCCAAAGCTGAATTACCAGAACAGGGGCAACACCCTGAACTGAACTCAACACTTTGGTTACAGACTATCTATAGCAAGAGCTCCCACATTTTTGGGGCTATTCACAAAACTCCTCCCAGTTTTCGTGCACCTATGCCTTCTTCTACCACTGTAGAGCTAGTGCAGTTCCAAGGAACCCTTGCAATTCTGACAATACCACTCTACCTTCTCTCCCAGGATGCCTGAGCGCACTCTGCGGAGCTCCTGCATCTGGCCCCCCACACCAAGCAGCAAACCAAGGTGAACACAGAGTGTTCGGATATATGTGCCTGCTTCACAGCTCACCCAGAAGATACCTGAAATGCAGGACAGGACAAAAGAGTATTTAAATACATATCTAGAAACGAAACACATCTAGAAGCTCCCTCCAAGAGAAGCTATATGTCAAACCTTTCACAGAGCCATCAGCCTGGGGTGATAGATGAAGGTCATCTTTGCACTGAGTGCTAATGCCATCTAATTGACATCATTTGGCTCTTCAATGAAGGATGCAGCAGTACAAAAAATAGATGGGATTTGCTTCTCAGCACACCACAGCAGTGCATGAAGCAGCTACTGCTTGATGGTAAGGATTTATGTCTTAAGATATCTGCCAAGAATAGGAAGCAGCCCATTTCACAAAAAATTTTATCAGCTGACAGTTTAATAAGGAAGAAGGCA